AACCAGCATGATCAGACTATGGGAACAGGGATTAAAGGGAGTTTTTATGGGTTGAAATTGGATTTTCCTTTTTTTACAAAAAAAAATTACCAACTACTTTCCAAACAATTTTTAGAGCTTAAAAAACAACTAATTTAGTATGAAGCGTTACAATGCGCCTAATGGTTGTGGTGAAAAAAAATATATATATAATTTAAAATTTACATGTTATTCTTATGGATAACAAATAAACAGTTGTAGTTTGCTTGTTTAAGAACATATTTTGATCAAATGTTGAAAATGCATTTATTTCTTACTAAACTATTAACATTTTTCTAAACCCCCTTTTTTACCCTCCCTGTAGAAGCAAAGTAAGTACTCGTTAAACTAATTCAATTAAATAAAGGAATAAATGTGACATTTAAGGAGACTTTGTGTAAGAGATTTTGTGTAAACCCAATTAGGGAAATGAAAATTTACTTAATCTGCAGGTTTATTGTGGCAGGCGTATTTATACTTAATATTTTCACCTTCAATAGGTTATTTCACACTGTATTTTTATGTTTTGTTACTGACATACTTTTGTAATCTGACATTTTTACAAACCCTTTAGCCAAAGGAATGGATTGATTGAAATATTGATTGCTTTCCGAAGGTCAAAAAGTAAAACTCAAACTAGCTATAGAATCATAAACAATTTTAGTGCAGTACCTAAAGTCAATGACTTCATATATGTAAAACATACGGGTAAGTTAATCATCAATTTAAGAATATTATTCAAATTTTAAAATAACTCCTAATTTGACTTGGCTAATGCATGTATATGTTGATCTGGCCTAATAAATGACTTATTGACTTATTAATTATTAAAAGAAATTTATAAAACATGAAAAAAGTTGTTTGTTATAATAACTACAATGAATGCTTTGCTTAAATGAATAAGTTTTCAGCCCCAGCTGTGCAGAAAGAAGGTTTTCTTTACCAACGTTCATTTGTGAGGTGGCGAGCTAAGGTTGTTAGTACTTTGTCGACACTTCTAATCAGATTACTCACTAGCGCTACACAGCTGTTACTTCTACAGATGTTTTATATACTCAAAAAATAAGCCTAGCATTTGCTATGCTTTAAAATATAGCTTTGTAATAAAACTAATACTACGATATATTATGTTATGAATACATTCAAAGTTTAATTTGCATCATCGAAATATTTATTTTTTACGCTGTTTTAAACCAAATGTTTTGTTCTTTGTAACTTTTGTTTAAAAGGATTTAAGCTTAATATTAAGAATAAAATATTAGGGTATTTTTTTAATGTGCTTGTGTTTTACTGTCGAGACTGTTTCAGGAGGTCTAAACTAGAATCAGAAACCTTTTATTTAAGGTTTGAAAATTTAAACTCAGAATTACATAAAATATAGAGTTTATAAATAAATATTAAAATAACCATTAAAAAGTGTTGGTGATTATAAATTATTCCAATTCGTGTTTAAATCTCTTAATATTATCTATTTCTTCCATAAGACTTTGTCGCAGTGATTATACTACACTACGTGAATCTATTTTTTTTTTTTTTATTAAAATGACAATCGTGTCTATATCTATCTAGAATAATGACTATAAGGCAGTCATGATCTACTATAATCCTTTTACCAATTAATAAACGTAGAATAAAAATTCCCTTTCGCCTTACATAATAAAATCCGTACATATAATTTACTCTTGGTAAAATATATCTCTGATGAATAAGGACTAAAACTAGTAATTTCTATGACAAGAAAGGAATGCACCCTTACATAAATTAAGGACATTTATAGTAATTCTAAATCTTAAATAACAGGCCAATGGAACGTTTTATTTTAAGTATACTGGTTTGTACAATGTAAGATATTGTAGTAAATTTTGCTTTGACCATTACGAAAAATGAGAGGGTTTCCTTGCGCAATGAATCCAGCTTTAAGTGAAAAGATCTGTCATCGAAACTTTTCCTCCTACTACTCCTTAATCTATGGTTGTAAAACGCAATGTAATTTAATTTTGCTGAAAAAATAGCAGTTGTTTTTCATTTAATACTTTACATACCAACTGATGATGTTTAGTAAATAGTGGTATTTAATTTAATTACTTTTAACAAATATGTAAGGAAAATAGTATAGAAAAAATTACATCGGATCTTGCATATCAAGAAAACCTACCCTAGCTGTTTACTATTTCGTCTTAAATTGTTGTAATTAGGCTTGATGGATATTGTTTCAACTTTGTAGGGATTTTTAATAGGAGATGTTTTAATAGGAGGGAGTTTTACTATCTCGTCTAGTATCTGAAAAACATTAATGATTCTAAGATACACTGTGTTCAGCTTATCTTTTTATATCTTTGGGCAGCTTAGTTCTGTTACTCAGTGACTATTTTCATAATCATTTATTGCCGAAAAACTACTAAACCAATCAATTAGTTTTAAAGTAGAGTTATGATCCAACAAAAAGGAACAATTTATGTAAAGCTTAGTAAAGGATCCGTTGAATATTGTTAAAGTAATTAATTGTTTATGATCTTTAACAAGTCAATCAAATAATATTATATGTTGAAATATGTCTTAACAGTACATTCGTATATAATTGGCTTTTATATAATTATGTTTTGTATTGTTACTAACCGGCGAAGGTATATTAAGGATTCAGACCACAATAGTAAAGCATGAAGATTTTAGCTGCGTTAACTCCACGGCTGAGAGGTCAGAAGGTTTTACCAGTCAAAAGCCCTCCTTTCCCGCCATTTATCCTTCTCTTCCCGCCATTTATCACTTCCGCTATTTATTGACTTCCTTAAGAAATTTTCCTCACGTAAAACGTTTTCAATTTGTGTGAGCCTTCTGTAATATTTTTTCTTCTCGTATTTATGTCATGTACTTTTTGTGACTTATTGCTTCTTTTTAAGCGTTGTTAAGTACCTTTTGAGTACGACTCAATTTAATGAGTTGGAACTAAATTCAGACCATAAGTACAATAGATAAGTGGGATTTAAAAATATAGATCATAAATTATTAAATTACTAAATCCAGTACTCCAAGCAAATCAGTTTTTTTTTCTTTTACTAACTGAACATTTAGTAAAAATAACATATCTGTCACAAAGTTAACATATTATTCTGGTTAAAAAAGCAATTACAACTGAATGGATCATCCCACATTCTTTTTTTACTTTCATTATGTATCATAAAAGAAATAAAAATCCAAGAACGTACAGTCAAAATTGAAAAAACATATGAAAGCATTATTTTATACAACAAAAAGTGGCCTAAGACAACCATGATTGCATGAAATAAACAACCCGTTGTGTTGTACTTAACACGAAGGTGTATTAGGTATTTATCAAAGAAAATAAATATAATTATTAACTTATTAAATTCACCCTATGTTTTTATGAATGATTGTTACGACTATATTTTACATGCATAACTATACATTTTGCATCCGTGATCGACACTTGTCATTCACACAGATCTATAACTGTCGTCAGGTCTTTACTTATTGATTTGTTTACAAAAAACTGTTTAACATTTAATACGGGCTAAAGTTTAAACAGTTTCTTAATATGTTGAAATCATACTGGCAAAGTTAAATACAGTATGTAATGTACTGTGTGCAAAATACCGCTTAAAACTGGAAAAAATATAAAATACACTAGATGTTTAGGAATTAAATTGCTATACAGTATTGCCATTCTAAATCAATAAATTAATAGTATTAAATTTTACCAGAATGGACGAGTCCACTGATCGTCAGGTAGTCCACCCTTAAGGAAATGAGAAACTATATACTACTATAGACAAGTATATATTTATAAATGAAGCCTACACTCTACCATGCAATGAACCAGATACATTAAAATTGTGTTTAAATGACGTAGGTATTAAGATACATGACAAATGCTTAGTATTTTTTCATATACTGAGCGTTGTGAACCAACGTAAAAAATTAAAATCTTCCGAAGCTATAAACGTTTTATTTCCTTACTATCTTTTTCGTAATCTTATTTACTGGACATATGTTTTTGAACACGTAAGACCTTAAATGTATGTACATTTTTGGATTATTAAAATATTTATACACCAAATATACCTGAATGAGTCATGGCTGATTAAAATGTCAGTAAATATGTTTTATCAGAACAATTACGAACTACAACTCGTTTGATAACCCTCATAAGTGTAAGTATTTTCTTTGTTTATTTTTTTTAGTTTGTTTCGGTATTAACAGTTAAAATGTTTGAAGTTCCGTTAAAGTCCGTTAAGTGGATAATGACCAAACTTCATGTGCAATTTAGTAATACAATTCAGTAAAAATTTTGGTTGAAAAAGGTGTTACAATGATTTTGTTGTGAATAAGTTAGAGAAAACATCATCCTAATAACAATGTCGGTGTAAGTTAAATTAAAACCTTCTTATGCATTACATTTTTTATATATTTACTATTATAGACTAGGAATTAAGTTTTGTTTCAACTTTTTGTTACATTTTTTGCACGCCACAATGTGTGAATGTCATCTGTTTATGAACTGACTTTTAAGCACGGTGAATCTTTGTAATGGGGGTTACGTTGCATGCAAACTACATTTATTTTTACAGGAAGTTAAACTTATTTTATTATTTTTAGTTCTCATTATTTCTGTTTTAAATCCTAAAATTTTATCTCTTGCTTTTCATCCCGTAAATTTATTAAAGTATAAAATTTAAATAGACATTTTTTAGATCAATTTAAAATCATCAATACTTAGATTTATACTTTTCCTTGGATGATCTATTAATCATTAAATTGCAAAAAGGTACAAGAGTGAAAAGAAAAAAATAATGCTTAGGTGATTCAAAAGTGTCCTATCAAGTGATTTACTCGGTATTAATGTTTATAAAATATAATAATACGGTGAGAATAATTGCAAACCAAAATAACATTGTTCAGCACTTAAATACGAGTGCAGATTTTTTTTCGAACAACTAATATATATTAAACTGTGTTTTTGCTAGACCAGTTTCATTCATCCAGAAGCTTGGCAGAGGAGATTTGGAGTATGTTCCCAGAGAAGGTTGGGGTGGACTTGATGGTCAAAACTACGTCAAAGAAAGTATCCAACTGACTCCTATATCCCATGTGAGGATAGTATCCACAGGAGAGCGTGAGGATAGGTGCAGCAATGTATCCGAGTGTGCACAGGTCCTCCGCAGGATACAGAAGTACCATATGAAGTTTTGCGGCCTTGAAGACATCGCTTACAAGTAAACCATCCAGCAAATATTTAAAATTTAAACAAAATATAAGATCATTGTTTGGGGTTATAGAAATTTAATCATGTGTCAGCATCATAAAATAATATGAATTTTATTTACGGAATGAATAGCTCTACACTAAGTTATTTTCCTCAAGTTGTCGTTTGTTCGGTGAAAATTTACCTCAAAATAATTTAATAAGTGTTGTTTTCAAATTATATAAATCGCTATCCATAGCACGTTCCACTCATGTATGTTAATGTTATTTCGTACTCCTGCTGCATTTATTGACTATGTAACCCAAAATTGTATAGTTATATCAAGACAACTCATTTTTCTGTATCTTAATCAAACCGTTACATCTTCATGACACTGAATACAATGTCAAACGAGAGATTTAATTTCCAATTAAATATTAATAAAGTATGATACGTAGTGATTTCTATTATTTCAAATAATAAATCAATGAAAGAAATGCATAGTATATAATTTTAAAAATATTAATATGGCCAAGGTTTTGTATAATCTACTAGTGTTATTTAAGTAGATCCTTAAAATACAATTACTTTGGTACACTAAAGCGGATGCTAAGAAATCTAATTTCAATAATTTTAAATTTGTGGGACACATCAGTTCTTTACTATGTCTTCTATTATTATTTAACTTTGACAGGTTTTTAGCCTCAGAAAACGTATCACGAGACCTTCCTCATAGCAATGTTAAATAACCTTTGTACATAAAATATTTTTCTTTGATGTATATTTTTGTTACGGCTTCAACTAAACATTTTCAATTGTTATTTTCTTAGCTACATGATAGGGGGAGATGGCAGGGTATATGAGGGAAGGACATGGAATTATCTACCTTACAGGTCTGCAGAATATTGTGACCACTTGAGAAAGTCTGTAGTCGACATAGCGTATTTGGGCGACTTCAACAAAGGTTAGTACATTGATAGTATTTCAGCAAAGGTTCGCTATATTCATTAAGAATGGTTGAGTGATGTAAAATGTGAAACATTGCCAAGCTGTAATCAAAATATAAGAAGGATGATTATACTCAATTGCATGTCCACCGTGCAATTTATTTCTTTTGGAAGTGACGTGCTATCAACATTACTAGTCCCGGCTCGTGAAATGTATTTGCGGATCTTATGAAATTATTCAGTGAATTCTATTCATTTTTGTACTTTGATTTTATTAAGATCGCTTATATTTCAGAAAATTATTTGGATATGGACTTTGAACTTAAAAAAGCGTAAGGAGTTGTAAAAGGTTGGTAAAGCGTGTCGTTCAATGTTATTTTAGGGGGGTTGAGTAACCAAAACTGCCTTTAAGCTGACCAAGCATAATAAATATGGCTTATGGTCACTTAGAAAATAATGGACGTGAAATAAAGTATAAAAAAAATTTCATTTGGTTACGAAAAGCTTTTCTAAACTGTTAGAGAGTTAACATGGTTTTTATAGATGCTTATATTTTTTATGAAAAAATATTCTATTATTACGATTTATCCAAATCTACGTTATTAAGGATACCAAGGTTTGCTTCATAACTGTATCATTTTACAGTCGGTTTGTTAAAAAATGAGTATTCTCTACATCAACAAAATATTTATCAATATTAAGAGAACAACTCGAACGATAACAAAAATGCGTAACAACAAAGGAATTAACTGTACAAATATTAAGGCAATTAAGAGTAAGATTTTAGTTTTTGGAACCTGGCGTTAGAATCCAAAATCGAATTCTTACCGGGTTTTCAGACGCAACATACTTGATCAAATTTACGTTTACATTTGTTTCTTTTCACTAGGTCTATTGATTATTTCTGTTATTTATCTTATTCCCCACAGTTTTGCAGCACAGACTAATACAAACACAAAGAAAACATTGTAAATAAAAATAAAACTAACACGAATTATTAACATTGAATTGGCGAACCTTTGGTAACTAAATCTTTGTGCAGTCGATAAAAAAACCTTCAAACTTAGGTAAATTAATTGTATTCTTTTGAAAGTTAGATAAGCTTAGTTAACAGGTATATTATAAATAATATTATTGTTCGATTTAATTAATTCTTTTCCAAATAATATAGTTAGTTTATGAGTAGTGTGTAAGTATATATACTACTTACTACTTAATTAATAGTATATAACTAGTTATAGGTAGTTAGTATACAGATAGTTTGTTTATAATATGTTTTGTTTGGACAGTTAGTTAAAAAAAACTTCTAAAAAGTTTTGTTATGATAAACTTTAACACCTAATGATACTAAAAGCAATAAATTTATAACCACAATATAAATTTTGTTTAAATTTATATTTATACAAGTACACGATAATTTTTTTATTTTTTAATTTGTAGCCTATTAAATTTGTATTTGTTTGGTGTATTTCAGTTTCAACTCCTCCAGATGATTATCAAGCAACTTTGAAATTATTCATCAAATATTCTATTGTTGATAAAAATATTAAGCCCGATTATACAGAATATCAAGATTTCTTAGAAGATTCTCAGGAGTAAACGTATGATTTGTTGTACAGACAAAACTAATATTTCTTCAATTGTTTTTAATAAACATGTATAAAGCAAAACCCCCACAACCACCCTTTCTTAAAACAATAACTTGCAGGTACATATTTGAAGGTTTGTATATTCTTAGAGAATGTCTTTTTCTTCCAACTCGCTGGATGGCTTTGAAATAAAATAGTATTTAAATTTTAAGTTTAAATGTCGTGTTTTTATCTTGTCGTGTGAGGTCTAAACCATCTATTGAGCTTTCTTGGCTTTCTGAAGTAGTCGAACACCTTGTCTTGGTAGTCATATTCAGCGTGGTATTCTGGGTGTATGAAGCCCATCTTTACTCCATATCTTAGCAGCATACTTGCTGTACCACGACAGGCCCACGGCTCCTTGTGTTCTGGAAGATTTAAAACATTCTTTGACAATTTCAAAACAAAAATACAGAAACATGACAAGGATACAAAAAGTATTTGTTTTTAAAATTATTTATGCTACTTTAGTATTATACCGACCACACCACGATACATTGACTTCCAAATAAAGTTTTTATTAGTTTATATAACAAAATATTCCTTACCTAACCTAAAACATAGTCCACCCTAAGGTTAGGTTAGGTTAAGGTGTGATCGGTATAATACCAAAGTAACTTATTTATATTCTATTGTATAACCACACTTTCACTATAACCATATAAATGGGGTTTCCACAAATTAAAGATTTACTAAAAAAAAAAATAACACAAATAGTATTCTTAGTATAGAGACAACTATCTAAGTCTGATGAAAATTGCTTATCTGACAGAGTAGCCTAGCATTTAAATTTACCCCCTTATACAAGAACATTGGTGGTTAGACCATAATACTAATTTAAAAGTTTATCAATTAATTTTCTAGACCTTTACTTCACTAGTAACGCATTTTGCCTCCTTTTAAAAGACATTAATTGTTTTAAGGAAATTAGTTTGTTTCCTAGTAATCAACATTGTTTGTGGGCAATGAACCTAAAAATAAGCAAATCATTTCCAACAATACTATTATTTCCATAAACTAAAACTGTACTGTACGCCAAAAAACAGGTTATTTTGTTAACTCGTCTATATTTATAATGACGAGTTAAGCCTGACAAAATGTATTTTTCTATTTTGGATTTTAAATATAAAAAATGTACACCCATTTCTATCTTGGTTCTCGTAAATAGATTTTTCCCCCTTTTTCATATTCCTAGCAACTATTATTAAACAGAACAATACAGTACACTAAAATATTTGCTTGCTTAGCCTCAAGAACAATGAGAGTATCCAAACTTATTTTATCGAGAACTTTTTAATGACCTTATTTACAGTATATAATATTATCCGTTACTACCCTAATAAAACAAATCGTATTACTAAATATGCCGAATTAGACAATCACTATCTAATATGTTGCACTTGAAAACCATTTTCTGTAAAGTTTCATTGCACATTAAACAATCAATTAGCTACATACAAATGGCTATTTTTAGAGAGGGTTGGGTAGGTTCTACTCCAAGCCACATGAACCTGTCGATATTCAATAGAACAATAGGGGAAGAGTAAATATTGTATGTATGTTTCAATAAACACATTGTTAACAAATATTAGTATTCTATTCTTGTACTTACTGCTGTCGTATTTTCCAATGAATGCAAACTCCAAATAATTTCCCATGAGCTCTGGAGCGAATAACCTGTCTCTATGGGGTTCTAACGTCCACCCCCTTCCTTCGTAGACTCGACCATCGGCTCCAATCATAAAACTGCCAATCAGAAATTTGCATTCAGATTAGAAAACAAAATAATTAAAGGTATTATAATAGTGTAGTGTTGCATACACCAGCTGTTATGTTTGCGAATAGGTTTAGTTACATGGATTTGCCAGATAAGGATGATTTAGTTACAGAAGTTCTTCAAATAATCAAAGTTAGGGCTGGTAAGATATTTCTACTAATCAATTTATCGAGCGATTTTCGTGTGCATATTTGATAGTAGTATAGTATTTAGGCAATATATTTAATCAATACTTAACTTTAATCAAATATGGAACATGATTATTATTGATTACACCTTGCAAGAAAATTATTCAAAAGCTTTTCAAATTGTAGCAGTTGTTCAATTCACAATAACAAATTGTTTAATTTTTTACTTTAAATGGAAGAAATAAATTAAAATCTGTTCTGTTATGAAAAAAATTAACAAAAGCTTCGAGTTTAGTTTGATTTCACTTTACATTTTTACATTGTAAAGGGTAGCTACAACTCTCTCCGCTAACAAAGTCTTATATTAAATATTACTTTTTACAAACTTTAGTGTGTTTTTATAAAACAAGTTGTAGTAGAATATTTAACTCATTCTCCAATCTCAACTGTTTAAGTTACACAACTTGACCCAAATGCACATAATACAAAATAGTCTTACTAATAACCTTTTTTTCTATTAATAAGACCAATTAATTGATAAACCATGTTTCTTGTTATTTTTTTATTCAAAATTTAAGTATAGTTTTTGTTTAACACACAATTTCTTCCTTAATAAACTCAAATGTTTCTCAAAATGAGGAACCATCAAATGTTATTCATCCAAAATAGGTAGATTTCACTTACCTCGAACTTGAGTGTATTCTTCCTCTTACAAATAACTAAACAACAAATAAATTCACATCCAACTCACTTGAAAGGAACATCGTCGATCCCTTTCTGCCTCTTCGTCACAGTTCTGATCTTCTTGAGTGCCTTGCAGCATTTGTCGAATGTTTTGCAAGGTTGGCCACCTGTTATTGTTATGCGCACCAGAGTTGCAGGGGTTGGTAGTACTGGAGTCTCTGGTATGGGAGGTGCCTGCCAGGCCCATCTAGGGATCATCTCCATACCTTCATCCCCCACCACTTGGCTGTACTTACAGGGGCTGAAAAATTAAATAAATCATATATAGATTTACTTTAGATATAATATAGGGGTGTACTCAGTGATCCTAGTTTTATTTATTGTATTTTTGAAAACATGAGACGTGGTCGTTGCCCCCAAGTGGTTCACACTAATGAAGATTAAAAACACCTTCAGTCGTTTGAATAAATGTTAGTAGTTTTTCAGGATATTTTTCGTTTGAGGATATTTCGTTTGGACCCAGGTTTCAGGATATGTTTGTCCTACATCAAGCAACAGTGAACGTTGGACGTTGTTGTGTAAAAATTACATATACTTCACAAGCTACAGACATGAGCCATGGAAACAAACAAGTTATAAATTAAGACCTAAGGCTTGGTTACATATTTTTTTCTAATACGTGCTTATAAATTTAGATAAATATCGATCGGCGAATGTTTAATTTGTTTGTGTTGAGTTTCATTTGATTTGTTGAGTTTCATTCTTACAACATTAAGACTATATAAATTTTCAACCCATTATTCTAATATAGGTCACAAAAACACGAAGTTTTTTTTACTGCTTCATTGAAACTAATAAAACTTATGCAACGTTCATCCACTTAAAAGACCAGATCAGCTTTTTAATGGAACGACAGCTCAAGGTGGGATCTGAACCACTGGACCACGGCATTATCTTGACATCAGCAAGACATTTCTGGACTTTAGCTTGATATTTGCTAAACATTAGTTACAGATTTACTAGACATAAGCTAAACACTAGCCATACATTGCTAAACATTAGCTAGACATTTGCGAGACATGTGCTAGACATTAGCTAGTTATTACCTAGGCATTAGCTATATATTATCCAAGTATTAGTTATACATTAGCTAGATATTAACTTGGCAATAGCTGGACCTTTGTTAAGAATTAATTAGACATTAGCCAGACATTGCTATATATGAGCTAGACATTTCCTAGACATGTGCTAGAAAAGAGCTAGACATGAGCTAGTTATTATCGAGGCATTAGCTAGACATTATTTAGGCGTTAGACATTACCTAGAAATTATCTTGGCATTAGCTGGACATTTGTTAAGCATTATGCCAGTAGAATATTATTACCCATAGGTTTTATGACTGTGGGACGGATCATAATAAAGAATGACATTTTCATACCTGGATACATTGACTTTTACTGACCTAAATTGTTAATGTACTTTTACCAGTGCAAAAAGTTGTGTTTAGGGAGTTATGTTTATCAGACAGCATTCTAACGTAGTCAAACGTGTTGAATTTTCTATGGAATTCTATAGATTTGTGCCCCAGTTTTAAATGTAACTATTTTGCACTAAAAACTATAAAATAATTATAAAACTGTGCCCTTTTTTAAAGAATATTATTTAATGATAGTTTAATGAAATTTGAACTAATCATCATTAAATTGTACTACTAAACTTGGATACACGAACAACGTAAAATGATTCAATATCACATTTCATTTTTGATTATTGTTTATATGGTACATTTTCATAATGATGCAGACTTACCCATCTTTTTCTTCTGGCTGTTGGACGTAGGTAACTGTCAATAGCTTTCTGTCACTGAAATTAATAATTCAGCAATAACAAAACTGTCCTCTAATTTAACCTATGCTATATTAAGAAACAAGTGTTCATGTAAAATTTCTCGATTTCTCTATGTTCTCTATTTACTCATCCATGTTTCGATATTTTTTTCCTTTCTGTACAGCTATCAATACCGGCTATAAAGTAAATGTAAACTTAATGCTCTAGAACAAATATTTTGAAAAAAAAACTGAAGCCACACATGAAATTATTACCGAACTGATAAATACAACAGTTGTGCAGAAGAGAGATTTTATAGATTTCTATCATTCGTCCAAAGCTACAAGTTTGCAAACATATTTCATCTTAATAACAACATATAATTTTGGATTAATAATCAAAATCCAACTTTTTAAAGACAATAATAATTTTGTTTTCAATGTCAAAAAAAGAAAAACAATCTCTCATACCATTTAGATGATTCTGTTCCTAAATAGCACGTCATGGTAGCTAATGTAATTCCCTGTGTAAAATTAGATATTTATTAAATATAATCATTCCTTTGAATTAATTCATATATACATTTACATTTTAGTTAGGTTAAGAACCACTGAAGTTACCCACTTATTTAAAAATAAGAGATAACTTATCTTTAAATGTGTTTCTATTATACTATCAGAATATTCATGAGATATTATAATTATTTTCAACTCAGTAAATTTATAAAAAATCTGTTTGGTTATTGAGTAGTGTCGTATGTGTTTAGTGGTACGGTTACCTTTGACTATTTAGATAGTCAATGGTGTTACGTTACCAATAGAATAAATACTTCTATTCCTTAATCCTAGTCACTTTTGATCAGTGGATTGCAGAGGTTATTAGTGACTAGTACTTAGTATTCCCGAGTATTTAGTTTAACAGTGGGCGAAGGAGGTGGTTTAATGGTAGAGCAAGGAGCTTCGGAGCCTGAGTTTCTGGGTTCAAATCCAGCCAATCACCAATGAATGTTATTCATGTGATAGTGCCACAATTCTCTAGGACTAGCCTAAAGTGATGTGTAAACCCGGTTTGGGCTAGAACCTAGCGTGCTAGAAGTTAAAAATGGGACATAAGTAAAAGAAATAAAAAATAATAACAAAGAAGGTATTTAGTTATATATTAAACTACACTAAGAGTACACTTAAAAGACACGTTGGGTAAATAAAAAAGATAATACCATGTAAAAAATAATTTTAAATAATAGTAAGTAACCGTATTTTTTGGCAAAGTATCAGTAGTTTAATCTGAATTAATTAAATAAAAAATCTGTGTTAAATCGAATCTAGCTTTTGCACAAAAAGGACAACCTAGGCCTACTATAGGGTAGAGTAGTGCTGGATGAGTATTAGAAGCCTTTGTAAAAAAACCTTTAGTCAAATATCTCAAACACAAACATAAGAAGACGAATCCAATTTCCTGCCGAGTTTCCTACACTAAAGTCAATGTCTCTGGCCTCATGTAAGGACAGTAGAAACTTTATAACAATTATCTTGAGGCAATTTTAAACTAAGACTTTCTATCAAGGTTAAATTCTCATTAAATTTTGTAAGACATGTAAGAGTGGTATAAATTCAAGGCTATTTTAAAACGAAACTTGTTATTGAGGATCTTAACACTATACTGAGGCCCCACACTTTATGGACCGGGTGAGACATTATAATAGCTGCTTGATGACATCGTTTGGAGCGAAGCAGGTTGTAGCTGAATTGTTGACTGAAGGTTGTTGGCACTTAAACACTAATTTATTTAAAATTTCAACCAATTGGAAAGTTTCGGTAGCGAATATCGAGTTTTCCGCTAGTTAGCATATAAGTTAATTCAATAAATAAACGAAAAATAAACCTAAAAACCAATAGTGAGAATCAAAATTAAATTGAAACATTTTACATGGCCAACAATTTGAGAAATTCCCAATAACTCATTCATGATTTTAGGATCTTATATTTTATTAAAAGAAGTTCTTACACATTAAATGATCTACAACATAAAGCACATTTAGATTTCAAGTGAAGTAGCTGTAGTATTCAAGAGGCTTTCTTGGATTTTCTATAGCTCTTCTTTCATCAGCTCTTCGTTTTTCAGCGGCAATTTTTTCCTCAAAAGTTTGTTCTATAATTACGTTCTCCCCAGATCCTCCCAAATGCGCGTATCTTGTTATCAACTCATAATCAGCTTTTAAAAACTCTAACTCAACTCCAAGCTTGAGGAAAGCTTGACATGTTCTCAGCATGAGTGGAGGAGGAGGCTCCCCTGAAACGTGTACGATAAAATAGTTCTAAAATAAATTGTGATTGATCTGATCGAGAAGTATTTAATTAATTGACAAAAGTAAGTGCTTAGTGTATGATTTATTAGATTGTAGTCCATGTGGCTGATGAGTATAATTTTGGTAAATTCTTGAATATACAAAATTAAAATGAGTCATGTGTGTTAAATTTTCATACATCATCGTTTTGGATTTTAGGTATAAAAAAATACACAAAATCCATTTAAGAACAAATTTGAATTTATGAACAGTCGGCTAGTAAAGGGTTTTAAAATAGTTTACGGTACCTGCTTAGCAGTAATACTTTGTTGCTGTTTTGAAACTAGTTTTGGTCATTTTGAACCATAATCATTCACAACGCTGTCAGGTGATAGCTTCACTTGAAGAACGTTAATAGAGTTCATTAAATAAAACATGCACGAGACACGAACGAGACTCGAAAACATAAAATAAACATACGGCTACAAAAAACACAAAACACACGAAGAAACAATGACGAAAACTAACGTGACCGTGCTGAAGTTAAGTTTTGCCAAAACTTTCAACCAGAAAGTACAGAAAATATGTCAATTTAAACTTGTACACTTACATATTTATGTATTTACATATTTACACTTAATTTTACTCACCAGTCGGCGTAAATACATGTAAAAGATGGTATGTGGGGACCAATTTCTATTATACACTCCAATTATCATATGATGTTGGTCGGTATGGAGTGTCCAATCGAATTCAATCACCACTTTCCATCTTTTATATATATTTACCGTCTTGTGAGTAAACAGTATATACGTAAAAGAATGCTATTACAAGTGTAATTTGACTAGTTTTTGTACTTTCAGGTAATTAACTAACACTTACAATCCTGATCACAAAGTTATTCAAACTCTATAGTCTAGTCTAGACCTGTATTGAGATTAAATGTGAACATTTAACATTAATACGCTGTCTTTATTAAAAGGTTAATCATTACTTTAAAACGATTCAGATTTTACAAACATTTCTTACTAAGCACCTTGTAGCAGTATCACTCTTACTTGTAACAGTCGTATTGAACCAATGTTGTTTTGGTGAGCATGACTATGGCGTGCATAAATTTGTTCTATTTAAGCCAAACACATTAAAAGTCGTAATACACTTAGTTTGCTGCAACCGGAGTATTTACTACTGTATTATTTTAGAAAATGTAAACACAATTTTTGTATTTGATACGGTACAAAAAAAAAACTCTTCAGAATGTGAGAAGCTAGTTAAAATAGCTGGTAAATTAATATAAGTTTCGTCCTTGTATAAGGTTTATAAAGTGATAAATTTAAGACCTATAGTTGATACTCACATTTATATCTACCGATGAATGCGACCTCCAGACAGTCGTCTCCTATGTGGTCCAACCTTTCATCCCTCTCGGCTTGTTTTTCCCATCCCCGACCTTCGTAGACTCTACCGTCCGGGCCTATCAGGAAACTGCGAAATGTTAAATCACCCTCCAGGGAAAGAGGAACCGATAGGCACAAGTTATGTAGGAATATGGATCCACTTATTATACGTAAGAAAAAACTCTCTTAACCTCTGTTCTAGAGTACTATTTGACCGTAATATTAACACGAACAGAACTGAAATAAATTAAAACGTCAGTTGGTGAGCCTAAATTACCTTATAACATTTCTCATTGAGGGTACAAAAATCTACTCTCTATGATTGGTATTTTTATAACCACTCTCTCTCTCTCTCTCTTTTGATTTACCATAACCAAATAAGACCTTTTAAGGTTGCCAAGCTATTAGAGAGGGTTTTTTTTGTAAAAATCAATGATTCTTTGCATTATTTTGAATGTACAAAAAATTGATTTCTTATTAATAGTTAAGTTATATCAACTTACAAATTTTATTAGTCCCTATTATAAATCTTTATATAAAAAATATGAAAGAGACAATATTTATACGTTAAAAATACAAAAAGTGGTAATGTATATTATAGTAGTATTATTAATTTACGTTTTGTATGTGGCAGTTTTTAATATCCCTTTTGACTATTGTACGTTTAGTGTAGTCAGTATCAAACTGTAAAATAGTCACCCATTGTATTTTCTAGATTCTGATTTATTCATAACTGTCATACACAGGCCCTCATGATGGCTGTCACATACAATATAGTCGTTTAACTATAATCATGGTGCTAATGCAACTCAGCTATAGTATAATCACTAACAGAAGTGACTTAATTGGTGCAATCACATGTTCTAATCGTGTAATACAGCGTGTACTTGACAGGGCTTTACACTATAATTAATTGGTCAATTCTAGGCCAACAAGGTATTTAATTATCAGATAATTTTCATATATTTCATTGATTGAGAGAGTTACTCGAAATTATAATTAGTGTATATCACATAATTTAATTAGATAAATCTAAACTTAAATATCTTTTTATTTTTAAATTGATTAATTACTTTGTGTTCTTTTGTATAGTTAAAAATTGATTTAGAGTTTTCATTTAAAGGAATACAACATTCACGTTTACTTCAACATCTATAAATGCAGGGAAGCAAGCTTGTCTGGTAGAGCCCGAGGTCTTGGGTTCAAATCAAATATTAAAATATTTCCATGTTAAAATAGTTTCGGGCTAAAACACAGTTTTCTAGGATATGAAGGTGGGGGAAAAAATATGCAATACGATTTATTTGTTTCCAAACGATGAAAAGTGTATGTATTCTATGTATTGCATGATTTTCCGTTGATATGCAACTCGAGCCTTTGCATGAGGGGAAAGCAAGGACTTAGCCTTTACATACAAGCAGTAACAATAAATATAAATTGTGAATAAATTAATTTGTAGGACTTTAACCCACAGCATTACTGTCTGGGATTTGAGGACTTCCACGTTTACAGATGAACTATAGATTCATACATTGAATCAACACAAAACATCATAGATTTTCCACCCCTTAAACTCTTACTGGTCTTAGATTTGACGAGATATATATGTATATTTTTTTGGGGGGGAGGGGAGTTAAAAATGCATACACATACTGAGATACTCAATGTCCTCTCAGTAGTGCCGGACTCCCGCGGGCTCAATGTCCCCGGACTAACAATTAAAAAACCCCTCATCTCCTAGGACACCCATCAAACGCTTACAGGTTTTAGATTTGACTCTATACAGTAAACGTTTAGATAATATATATAAAGTACTTGCTTGAAGGCGATATCCTGAAG